TGTATGTACAAATTGTTTTGATTTTAATGTAAGGAAAAATAAAGAATGAATGAATGAATGAAAGTTATAAATACGTAGGACAGGAAATTCTCTTTGTCTCCTTATGTTAGACTCATCATCTGCATGATACGAACATTTCAGTACGAAACTACCGTAGGCCTAGATTATTGGTGGAAGATTTAATTAAACGCGGATTGAACCAACACCCGAGTGGCTAATAAATCACATAACTCCAATAACACAAACCTAAGATCAACTCTAGTGTGTCGTGCTTCGCTAACCTTTGGCTGGCCATCGTCTTTGTCAGTTGTGCTTTACGTGACACATGTGTTTAAAAAAAGTGTATAAAGGCTGTAGATCGAATTTGTCTATTATTAATGGGCCCTCATTATTTATCAAAAATGCTGTGTAAACAAATAGATTTTCAATTTCAATTTATTCAACAAATACCCCAGGCTGAGAAAGGTAAAAATATATAAAATACAATAAATACAAAATTAATCAAAAGGAACTCGCATCCATTATACAAAAACCAAAGGTACGGTTCATTGCATGAACATCGTTAATGTAAAAGCAACTCTTTACACTGTCACAGTTTCCATGGTTTACGCAATTGTGACTATTTATATCAGCCTTAGGTTTCTACTGACTAAATATCACTACCAAAAAAACACCAACAATTTACAATGCTTACTAGAGTGAATCAGTGAAATAGAATATGAGTAGAATTGCTCTCGCATAATTCCTATGATGTATTCACCAAACGCTTCCTCTGATACATTATAGATGTAAAGATGTGTACCACGGGTTCTTTTCTTTCTATGAAAGATTATAAAAAAAAAAATCCCACTTTTATTTTGTACCATTAGTAAAAAGATTACAATGAAATAAAAGTCTGATAGTGCCATTTTGAGTCACATGCATGTGTTATAGACATACAATCCACCTTTAATCATGATGCAAAGAGATGCACTCTTAACTCCCCCTATATTGTAACTGTTAAAGAAGTGGGATAAGCGAGAGCACGAATAAAATATAAAATAAAATATAATTTAGACCTAAATATAGAATTAAATTTTGATCAATTAAAAATTAAAAAAGACATTTTCCTGCGCATGAGTAAACTGAATTTCATTTAATCTTTTGCACTAAATATAGTTAATACCAGTATTTTCCTTATACTTTTTCCCTCCTTTATATTTCTGGCTTTTCTACAACCTTACAACATTATAATATTAGGCGTACTCATTTATGTTTATATCATCTTATCCAATGCGAATGACAGGATAACATTTCATGAAAAGCAAATAAATACAATCAAACATATCTGATTAATTATCGGCGTAAAATTCAATCTTTAACTGTTTGACATATATAATAAAAGTTCTATGCAAATTATTTAAAAAAAATATATTTCACAAACGAACCCGTAGTTACAACTTTCCTGCTGTACAACAAATGTTGTATATCTACTGAAGCGTGGATGTGAATCACCTAATCCCAGATGATAGATAGTAGATGAATAATTTTTCATCCATACAAAGTCTGAACAAATCTGGTAGTCAGAGATCTCAAACTCACAGTAAAATGTGACGTTATCACCAATGTGGGCCTTTTGCGAAATGCAACTTTCATTATATAAACGGAGAGGCTTTCCAGAATCTGCAAAAAGGAAACTGATTTAAAACAGAAATTAAGGCTAAATTAAATGGGAACAATATACTGATTCAACGATAGGTACCTAATAAGATATTACCTGATTCTCAGAAACCAATAATCTCAGAAATCACTCAGTGGAGTATCTAGAAGTCTTGAAATGGGAGTGCTGACGGGGAGGGGCGCGAAGGTAATGTGGTGGCGGGNACTGGGGGAGCGAGTATTTTTTGGGGGGGCGTGTGCCCCCCCCCCCCCCCGCACACCCCAGATACGCCAATGAAATCACTTAAACAGGCTTCCGGAACTAATTCCAGAACTCCATGAAGCAAATATCCGGATAATGCTGTGAAGTACATATTAATTAAACAAAATGGTAATGGTATTGGTCTTCCATTTCTACAGCGCATAATGCAGTTGAATGATTCTTTTACCAAGTGTCAAGACAAAAGAAAGAAAACAACACATAACAAGAAGAAGAAAGATTAGAATTGTCAAAAAAAGATGAAATCTGACCAATAAGTTCAAAACTTCGCGACTAGCCTATATTTTAATAAGCCTTGTGGTTATGACATCTGTAGGTTCCTGGTCTATGTCCCAACGAAGGACAAATTATAATTTTTGATCCAGTCACAAGTTCAAAATGTTTTGATTATATGCTGACTACCCGTATTACGCTATCGAGCAAAATGGTGCACTGTGGGATAGTTTCCCTTCAAAATTTACAGCCTCCCAAACATTTTTTTAAAATGTTTTTAATGTTTATTCACACAATCGCATTGGGTACTTTAATTGACTGTGACATACTCTTATCTAGAGCAAACTATTTATTATTAATGAGAAGGTAGACAGTAGTAGCTTCAATTAATTGATTGATGAAATAAAGAATCACGTGACAACATTAGAATATTTTCTCAATTTAATTAAAATCAGAGCTGACAACCAAGTCTTTCCTATATTAACAACATGTCATTCACTCTCGTTCTAAATCTTATCATAAGCAACAAAATCAAATACTTACATTTTGGTTCTACTTCCAGTTCCACAACACGTTCCAAAGTGGTATTGGCACTACTGACAACACACTTGTAGTTTCCGCTTAGCTCTTTAATTCCTGAGATGGACAACACCTGATCATTTTCTCTGAATGTAAATGGTGCGCCGTTGATTATTTTACCGTCGAGGAACCATTCGATTTGGTGATAATTCATAGCGCAACATGACAAGAATGCGTCCTCAACACCATATTCTATTACGTAAGGATTTGGAGGGTCTGGTCCCGTAAAATATAGTCCAGTCTCTAAATTTAAAAGAAATATAGGCTAGGTATAACATCCAGATGTACGTATATAATAGTAGTATACTTCACATACGGCAGTTAAACTGAGACACTGAGTGACCAATGATATCTTTAACTTTGGCCTCTTGTTCAAATCTATACTCTTGTTTCTAATGTAGGTCTGAAATAAAAATTGTATTATGGGCTTCGTCTTACAAAAGTAAAGAAAATAGTTGGTCCCGTGTGCAATAAAGCCCATATACATTAATAAACAAAACAAAAAAATGTATAACGATGTACAGCCTATTCACGACTGGATGAATGCACTGAAGGTAAAAATGCAAGTGCTACGATGCTATCTGTCTAATATTGATGTTGTATTTATCAGTATTGGGACATATTTATATTTTAATTATTAAATCAAAGCCATACAGATGTTACACTAATTTTTTCTGTTTTGTCGTATTGGCAAAATTTAATTTCTCTTTGTGTGTAATGATTCGCCATTGGATGGTGTTTGTATGTCACATCCGTCTTTTAATTACCGGTATGTTTTACAAGAAAAGCTAACGTGAACCCGGTAATGCTTTTAATTTCAGTTTCTTTAAAAAGTTGATACTATTAGTCATTGAACTCCATTATTACGAAAACAACTGTTTTTTACAATACACACGAAGCAATTAACTTCACGTTTACTAATAATATTAAAGAGATTCAGATTCATGAATTTAGACATTCATTATGTTTTGCATATTAATACGACTGATAAATTCAGCATTGTGTTTGTATGGAAGTTTAAAATCCAAGATAATAGACCTACAGTAATTGTCTAATGTTCTTTTGAACGTAACATCAT